CCACCCCCAGCCCTGCTATGGTGTCCCTCTGCTTTGCTGCTGGCTTCTGCCTGCAACGCCTGCCGTTGCCCTGCCCCCAGAGGACACCGCTTTCTGTCTGTGGGTGCTGGAAGGGCTTTGGCCTCTGCCTTGGCACCTGGGTCACCTCCTAAAACCTCTGTGGGGTCAAACGGCCTTTAATGAGGGAAGGTAGTTCCTGTTCGGGACACTAACCACATTGAGGGTGGTACAGATTAGTCTGTGATGTATTAGCCAAGTGCTTAGGGAAAGGCTACCTTTTTTTATGTATGTGGTACAGGGTCTCATTGCACAGCTTGGACTCGTAGTGACCCTCCTGTTTTCAGCCTCCCCAGCACTGGGATCACATGCAGGCACCACCATGCCCAGTCTCTGTGGCGGGCTCAGCGTGCCCGGGGCAGAGCCCACACGGCACTTGGTGTCAAAGATCAAATCCCGGTCCCTGCACTTGCCTAAGCAGGGGCTTAGTCCACTGAGCTATCTCACCGGCACTAGGGGCTACTTTTGTAATTTGCGCAGTATCATCTGGATTAGGGATAGAGCTGACTGGGAAACAAGAGCTGTTGGTTGAGTGGGGCTTTGTTCCCTAGCCCGAGGAGAAGTGTTCCTCAACCTTGTTCTTCCTTCTGGAATCCCCTCTTCCCATGCATGAAATTTGAATGCTGATTTCCTGGTGGCCACCCCACCTGTACCACGGATGGCAATGTCACCCAAGTCTGCCAGTCCTCTTGGCCATGGGGGCGGGGTCAATCATAGTCTTTCCCTGGAATTTACAGCTACCCAGACATAAAGACTCCCAAAGGGCCAGCCAAATAGCTCAGTGGATTAAAGCGCCTGCAAGAAGGTGCAGGGGTTGGGGGTTTGAGCCTCGGGCCTGCCCCTGCGGGCCCCACTCCCAGGCATCCTGAGACAGCAATGGAGACTGGGTGTGGTGGTGCGGGCCTGTAATCCCATTGCTTGAGAGGTTGTAAACAGGTGGATCACTACGAGTCCAATCTAGAAGTGAGACCCTGAACACCCTGTAGATCCTTCCCTAAAATACAAAAAAAAAAAAAAAAAGACTCAGAAGTCTCTAAATCTGTCAGAAGCAACTGAGATTTGCTGAAGGTGCCAGAGTAGGAACGTTCATCTGTAGGAGGAAGAAGGGTGGGAGACGGCAGAAAGGAGGTAGCAGAGAGGGACCCAACAACACATTTTAGAGTTCCTACTGCTATCCTACCAAAAGCCCAAATCCCCCACTTTTTCCTTAAACTAGTTTAAATTTAGTTACTGTCACTGATGAGCAACATAATTCTGCACAATAGAACTACTTCCCAGAAAACCCCACCCTGGTGCACCAGAATGGGATCAGCCTCTCACACCCCACCCCTGGCCTCAAGCATTTGGTAGGTGAGAGGTGACTTCCTGGGACTTCAGCAAGACGCCCCCTCATGGTTGGTGGCTCCTAGGCCCAGGAGTCCCAGAGCAGAAGGCTCTGGAATTCTATCCCGTAGTGCAGTTCTAGTGGGGTGGGACCTCGGAGGGTCCCCGTCCCAGAACATCCCACAACCTATTCCTAAGTCTCAGGCTCCATCGGGGGCCTGTTGAACACAACCACTGCAAAGCTCTCTCAAGGCCGATCACACTTGGCAGAAATTGTGCAGTCAGAGCTTCTAAGCAGAAACACGACTTTCCCACGTATCTGTTGTCAGTCACGTAATTCTATGTCACCAACAGAATTCTGCAGGGCTGTACTGAGCCCCTTTCTTTCAAGCCTCACATTCTAGTTCTTGCAGGACCTGGTCTCAAGAAGAGACCCCTTGCTTGGTTGCAGCTCTCTCGTTAACACCTTCTTACCCGCGCCGTAAGTAAGCACTGAGATTTCTACTAGAATTCTGGGAAAGGGACTTTTCCTCTCTGTTTCCTTCTAAAGAGAAGAGGTGGCTCATTTTTGCAGGCCCATGGTCTTTCATGACCCTGCTATATTCCACTGGGTTAGTTGCCTTCATTGACTCAACTATCCATTTATTACTGGACATTGAGTGATGTTAAATTTTTTAATCTTAAAAACAACACCGCGATGTACAAGTGTGAGTACAAATCTTTGTCCATGTGCAGGTTATTCATAGGAATAGATCCAGCGAGGCAACAGGCAGGACAAAGTGTCTTGGGACACTCACAAACACACACGCCTGAACAAAAAAGTTCAAAGATGCCAACAAGAGTTCTCATTAAGGAAAACAAACTAAAAGGAAGTAGGCTGTGTGCTCAATGCTTGAAAGAAAATAACAGTAGGCAGGGACACTGCAGGCAGGTTACCTCCCCCGACACTGCTCAGGCTGACGTAAGGGGCAGACGCCCACGTGCCTGTCCCCTCCAAACAGCAAGTGTTTTGGTTTCCTTTGACAAACAGTGCAAACTGAATATCATGAGGCAGAGAGTTTTCACCTCAGCTTTCTTTTCCCAAAATACACATTTTGTGTAAAGTTAACATGCAGTTCTACACCCCGAGGAACTGGACCCTCTCTCACCTGCTTTCCATAGTCACCTCTAGCCTACACCTGGCTCCCTTCAGAGGGACAAAAGTGGCGAGGCAGCCTCCTGGCCATCCTCCCTGTCACCAGCTTGGCCTCAGTTGAACCCTTTGGCCATTCTATATCCAGAAGGCTTTGCTTCCGCGTCTATTTTGGTGTTTAACTTCTCGAGCCCGACTGTCCTGTAGGTGAGGTACACTAGCTGTTCCCAGAAGTTCTCAGCAGCGGGTGGCACAGCTGAGGAGAAGCCAGGGCAGATGTCTTAGGTGAGATTCCCCCGAAGCAGAGTCTGAGGCCAGGAATTGAGAGCAAGTGGTTTCTCGGGAAGGAGAATCAGGAAGCAGCGTGATAAGGGTGGAAGATGGACAGGAAAAGGAAGAAAGTCAGTAAGGTGCTCAGCAGCGGGCTACCCTGGGGTGGGGGCAGAATTCAGGCCCGGGGGTTCTAAGTTTGTGTGGACAACACCTCCCCATTGTCCCACAGGGGCAAGGGGCTCTGAGGGCCTCTCTGTAGCTGGATCACTATGTCTCTCGCCGTACACACATTCATGTACACATTCATTCCTCTCTCTCTCTCTCTCTCTCTCTCTCTCTCTCTCTCTCTCTCTTTCTGTGTGTGTGTGTGTGCTGGCATTGAACTCAAGGCCTTTCACTTGCTAAGCACTTGCCTTCCACTAAGGCATGAGCCCCAGCTATGCATATATGATTTATTTATTTATTTTTAATGTACTTAGGACAGGGTCTACAGGGTCTCACAACGTAGATCAGAGTCACAGTGATTCTCCTGATTTCAGCCTCTCAAACACTGGGATTACAGGTGTGCGCGCCACCACGCCCAGTCTCACTTGCCATCTCAGGGCGCCCTCGGGACGGGGCCAGCACTGCAAGCCGGGGATCAAACCCTGACTGCGGCGCTCTGCCTAAGCAGGCACTTTAGTCTGCTGAGCTATCTGGCTGGCCCTGATTTATAAAACAAAAATAAGATATCACTATTCCGACTGGTATTTTCATTTTCATTCAACACTGTTGAATACCCTTCAACATCAATAAAGATATACTATACCAAGACTGTCAACAGCTGAGGAGCATCCCACTGGGACACTGCACACCCCTAGGACATTTGTTGTTTCGAACTTTGACGGAAATAAACAAAGATGTGAGGAACAGATGAATCTGCCTAGAACACAGCTGTGCATATCACCTCTTATTTCTCTTGCTCAAAACCCAGTCACGGCTCCATCACTCATGCCGTGATGCCAACATTCCATAACTTGGCATTAGAGTCTGACCCATGAATAACCTGTCTGCTCCTCTGTCACCCAGACAGTTGGACCTATGGGGTCATTTCAGGGCCTGTCGGGCGCTGCATCTGCCCCTGACGGCCTCTCCTCTCCCATGCTTCTTTGGCGCTGTCCAAACACAGGCTTCCTCAGCTCTTCACCCCCTAGGGATGAGTCCTGCCTTTTTGATTATCCCTACTTAGCTATCTCCTGCAGAAATTTTCTCCTATTTCTGCTGTCTCCTGATGGGTGCGTCTTCACTGCCCTACCGGGCTGCACCAGGGCCCAAATGAACACCTTCACGCACTGCCACAGCCTTGTTCAGTGTTTGTTGGTGGTGACTACAGAAATGGATTTTGTCCTGGAATTAGGGGAGGAGTGTGCTGCACTGGCTGGGGTCCTGTGACCACTGGATCTCAGCTTGCAGAAGGTTACTAAAGTGATAGGACCAAGAGACACAGCTAATGCACTGCCCATGAGCCCCTCTCTGCTGACCGGACAAAGGGACAAAGGCAGTGGCAGGAGGTGGGGTGGGGGTGGGGGTGTCTTTCTAGTTCCAGACTCCAGGACTGCCAGGAAAGGGAGCTAAACCAAAGTGGAGGGTGGGGAAGGGCCACTCCCAGGGTGCTAATCCCAGCTTCCTGTCCGGATTTTCCTTGAGGGCTGCTCATGGTCCATCTTAGCATGGGTATAGCTGCCGAAATAGATCTCCCCTCACCTGTTCTTAAGCAATGGAGACCTTGCTAACTTCCTGTCTGGAGAATGCATGCTTTGGTAATTTTTCCAGTATAGGGGACAGGATTGGGGACTGCCACCTTTGTCCACCTCCGAGAGACAAAAGGCTCACTTTCGCTGGGAATCAAAGAGCAAACAGCCGAAATAAAGACCCGGGCATGCATTCCTGGGCAGAGCTCCACCTTTTCCGTGAGTTCAGCCAGTGTTTCCTTTCCGGTTTTCTTCAGAAACTGCACTCTGTCCACAGAATATCCCTCTCCTGAGCGTCAGGAGCGGACCTGAGGCCCTTCTCGCCCACCTGGCCCTCACTCCCAAGCCGGCCCTACAGGGCTCTCACACCTGCTGAGCCAGGGGTCCAGACCTGGAACCCAAGCCTAGCTAGCACCTCACTCATCTATTCAGTAAACCTGGCCGCCCAGGCCTGCTCCTGAGGGTAAGCAACGATGACAGGGACGGGGAGGAGCAAGACGCACTGCTCCCCGCCGGGTCAGGCCCGCGCATGCGTGGGAGGAGCCGCGCTCGGCGTCCGCGTTGCCGAGGTAACCCAGACCAGCGAACTCCGGCCATGGCTTCCAGAGCTGGCGCGAGCTGGGCTAGTGCTCCGCCACCGAGCGTAGCCCCGACGGTGAGGCTAGACCCGAACGCAGAGCTTGCGGCTGGCGGGGTGCGCGTGGGGCTGGATTCTGGAGGTGGGGACGAGAAGGCAGATCTGAAACCTCGAGAAACACACGGGATGGGGAGAGGCGAGAAGTGGCTCCCGCGGAGTTCCGGAGGCCGCCATCGGGGCAGGTAGCCCCCGTTGGGGTCGCGACGCGCCCCGTTCTTCCGCACTGGCCCGGCTGAGTACCCTTGCCCTCGTCCCCAGCCCTCCGTGACCATCCTGCAGCCCCTTCCTTTGCTGGTCCCCAGTCCCCCGCCGCAGCCTGGCCGGGTGAAGGAAGGTGAGACTGGGGTCGCCCTCCCGTGCCCCTTCGGCCTCGCATGCGCCCTCTCTCTGTCCATCTGGGTTTCCACGTCCATAGGATACTTGGGAATGAAGACCCCACTTCGTGCTTCAGTGGGGCAGGTGCGGGGGGCGATGCCGGGTGGGCCTGCTGAACCCCCGCTGACCCTCCAGACCTGCTGGAGTTGATGTCGCTGCAGAATGCGCAGATGCACCAGTTGCTGCTGAGTCGCCTGGTGGCTGGGGCGCTAAGCCCTGAGCCACTCTGCCCCTGTCCGCAGGTGCGTGGGGGTGCCCCTCCCTTCACCCCACCACTCCCCTCCCTGCGCCACTCACCTGTGCTCTGGGTGGGTGTTAGGGGATTGGGCCCAGAGAAGCAAGAAGTTAGCCCACCTTTTAGCATCTGTCACACACCCCAGAGTTTGTGTCAGACTCCGTGAGCAAGTCCCCAGTCCTAGGCTCTGGCTCTTGTTCAAGGAGTGCATGCCCCTCTTGGACCCCAGGAGGGTGGGCACCCTTGGACCGTCCCAGTCAGCAGAAGAGGACACCGAGGTGGAATGAAGAAGGGCGTGTGAGGGTAGGAGGGGCCCATACTAGGGCTGAGCCTTTCTTGCCAGTAGGATCCAGGAAGAGAGGGGCACCAAGGAGTTGCTGTGGTCCCCCACTCCTGGGGCCTTGGGACGAACACCCTACTTTCTTGAGTGACATGGGTGGGCTGGGAGCTGGGGGAAAGGCCAGGAGGAGCTTATGTACTTTGAGGCCCGGGTCTGACTTCACAACCGGGTTCTTGCAGCCCCACTCTGCCACTGTTTAGTTGGAGGCGGGGGACTTAGACACATGGTTCAGCCTCTCAGAGCCTTAGTTTTTCCATCCGCAAATAAGGAATAAATGTCCACAAGGTGCCAGGCTTTATGTAGCACACGCTTACTAAATGGTAACCCGCATCATGAGGGCCATCTTGAGAAAATAGCGGAGGGAAAGCATGGCATTGTGGCAGGGAGAGCCTGGCCTGCTCTGCCTCTCCCTGTTCTCATTTTGCCAGGTCTATCTTGAGTGGCAACAGGAAGAACCAGAGGAGGAGGTGAATAGCCAGGAGGAGGCGCCTTTGGTGTTCCACCACCACTACCTGCCCTGGCCCCTCTGGCCAGGCCCTTTCCTCCCTGCTCCCCTTGGCCAGCCCTCCCCCCAGGGGATGCCCAGGGCACCTCCCTCCAGGAAGACGGAGATGTAAGTGAGCTGGGGGGTGTGGGTGCTGCCAAGGACCTGTGAGGGCTGGACCCGAAGAGCCAGCAGGGCCCTTGGGCTTCTGAAGGGGGCTTGCTTCTGTGCCCCTGCCTCAGGAGAGCTGTGCCCCCGCCCCCGCCCCCCAGCGCCACAGGGACTGTGGGTGCAGATGTACCTCCAGCTTCAGGTAGGAGGCTGGGCAGGCAGGCCCCAGGCCTGGGGTGGGGTGTGGGGCCTCCCGCCATCGGTGCCTGGAGTCGCTGGGGCGGGAGGGCTGCAAGGTGGAGATTCTGTCTCTCCCCAGACTACTACGATGCCGAGAGCCTGCTCTGAGGATGGGGCTCACAGGGTCCTCACCAGCTCCAGAGCAGGCCTGAGAGCGGCCCTGGAGTCGTTGCCTGTCCGCTGCTGTCTGCTACTGTGCATCCATGCGACAGCCCTCGCCTCAGTGTGGGGGCCTGCCTGAAGGACACCCTCTGAGCACAGCCTGTGGTCCAGAAGAGCCCCCTCCCAGCCCTACTCTGCCTAGACCAGGCCATGCTCCCGTACTACCAGCCCTAGCCCACCTCCATCCCTGTCTCTGGGATGACAGAGGCTGTGGGGTCACCTTGTGGGTTAAGAGTGGGGCAGGAGGCAAGAGGAAAGGGCTGCTCCTGCAAGCTCCGTGCAGCTCCCTGGTCAGGGAACAGTTTGGGACCCCACCAGCCACCCAGGGAGCTGACCTTGGCCACCAGAGAGGCAGGGCTACTCCCATTCTTCCCAAGATTGGCCAGAGGACCCTGGGGAACAGGTGGGAACAATGTCCCTGGCCTCTCCGGGCCAGGGTGTCTCCTTGCCCTGCCCTAGCAGCACTTAGTCATGCAGGCTACATGAGGGAGGTCATCTGGGGCCCTGGAAGGCCCCTGAGAAGGAGCGGGCAGGAGGGAGGGCATGCGGACCTAGATTTGTGTATCTGCAAAGCTGGGTGTACAGGCCTGCGGGTCCCTGTCCCAGCTGCCACCAGGAGCAGGTGTGGAGGACACCAGGTTGAGTCCAGGCGCTATATTCAGGCTAGAGAAGCCAACATCCACAGGGTCCCATGCTCCTTTTACAGTCTGTGGGCCAGGCTGGACGGTGACCCTAGCCGCTGGGCTAGACCCCAGCACCGCCGTGGTGGCGGCCACGTGGCTCACACATGCTGCGTCCGGAAGGCCTGGGGCAGCCTCCGCCAGGCCTCCAGCACCCCGTAGTAGCCTCTCTGCCTCTGGCACTTACGGTGGCTCATGATGAAGCAGAGCAGGATGGACGTCACAAACAAGAACAGCAGAACCGACACGACCGTGACAATAATGACCATCTGGCTGTCCTGCACGGGTTCTGGGGAGGGAACAGACACTTTAGAGGACTGGGATGCTGGCCCAGGCAAGGCCCAGATGTCTGCCCCTCACCTCACACCCACCCATCCATCTGTAGTCGCCCTGCTTGCCAAGGAGCGGTACATGGGGTCTGCCTGTAGAGCGGCGGCTAGAAGAAAAGTGGTGTGGGCTCCAGCTACCAGCCAGACCGCGGTGAGGTGCTTGGGGAGAGGCTGCCTGCCAGTAGCCCCTGGGACAAGCACATGGTGACCAGGAACCACGGCCCAGCCCATGCCCCTCCTCAGGCAGCGCCCACTCAGCTCCCCAAAGACAGGGCACACTTGGGCCACCAGAATGGAACAGCAGACTCGGGGCAGACAGGCCAACCCTCTCATGTGGAGAGGTGGCAGGGACAGAGAGAGCGGCCTTGATCAGGCCATGCAGCTGGAAGAGGGCAGGTAGATAACAGAGCTCTCCTGACCCCGGGGCTGTCAGGGTCCAGGATGAGGACTTGGAATCAGGAAGAATGGGCAACTTTAGGGCTCCATGTATGCCTTAATTGGCCTGAGAAGCACTCAGTTCTTTTCTCTCCCCCGAGCTCCCCCTCCATGCGGGTCCAATTACCATAGACCTGGAGGACCTGGGCCTCTGAGACACTGTAGATGACGTCCCCGCCTTTAGACCGCAGGTCCAGCGCGGCCTGGCAGCGGAAGGTGAGGGGGCCGCTGCCTCCCTGAGCCGTTCTGTTGAATGTGACTGAGCCTTCTCCGCGGGCAGGTGCCGCCTCCACGGAGGTCCAATTCTGCAGAGTCTCTTGGCCACGTTGCAGCGTGAGGGTGAGGCCCTCAAGGGGCTTCACAGCAGCCACCCCGCACTCAGCGGTGAAGGCTGTGCCCAGGGCCACCCGGATGGGCCGCAGCTTCAGTGTGACCTGCTGTGGAGGTTCTGGAGGGCGGGAAGGAAGGAGGTGCCGTTCGGGTGGGGGCCATGTCTGCAGGCCCACCCAGCCAGGCGGCTCCTGACACTGGGTGTTCCAGCCCCGTGGCTGCGCATGCGAGGCCTGGCCCAGCCCAGCGCAGACCACAGTGCAGAGATGTGCTTGGCAGTGCTTATATGGATTACGAGAAGAGACACGATGGAGGTAAATGGGGGCTGCCCCGTAGCTCAGCTCTCTAAGTGGCTGCTTCAACCAAGCAGTCAGGCTCAGGTTGCTGGGGTTCGATCCCCACAACTCAAGCCAGCCAAACCTGCCCTGAAGGCATTCGGAGAAAAAAAAAAAATGCAGGTAAAGAAAAAGTCCAGAACCCGTACACCCAGCTTTGAAGACACAAAGTTTAGGTCTGTGTGTGTCTCCTCTACAGATATCTTAAATACAAATTTCACAGATTAAACAATTGGATAATTATGTCAAGAACACGCATAGTCCCCCACCCCCTGTTCCCACCCATAAAATAGGCATGAAATGTGAATTTGGGGCCTCTTGCTGTGTTCTGGAGCCCCTGATCCTATTGCGTAGCTCATGAGAGAACCTGGCCTATCTGGAGCCTTGGTGGCGCTCAGGCCGGCAGGTGTGTGCGGGGGCCTCCCCTTCGCCGTGGGTCCTCAGCAGGAATACCGAGGAGCAGCTCCTTGCGGAGTAGAGGGGCTGCTGGGGCACATCCCCAGTTCTGCGTCCCCCACCGCCGCACATGTGCAGCGCCCTGCCTCTGAGCTGGGAGGAGTCAGGAAACACTGTTGCTAAGGGACTCCGAGGTCTGGGGAAACCTAGACTGTTCTCCTTGGTGTGCGATTCAGGGTCTGAGCACATTCTGGGCACCCAGGCTTGCCCTGCTCCGGGTCACCAGGGCAGCGGGAGCTGCGACGCGCAGAGGTGGATCAGATCCCGGTGCGCTTAGACACAGGCTCTGCCCCGAGGGGGTGGGGGTGGGGGGGATGTGGGGGTGGGGGGGACACGCATGCGCAGCCACTCACGGTACACACTGATGTGGACGGTCTTTGTCAGCGAATTCCCAGCGCAGAAGAAGTAGCAAATGAGAGATACATCCTGAGAGATATTTGAGACCAAGTACTGCTGCCACTGAGGCCGCTGGTCCACCAACTGCTTAGTCAGGGAGGTCTCCAGACCCCCCAACTCAGGCTGGGTACAGGTGGTGCTGCAGTTGACTCTACCCGACCCGCTGGTCTCAACTGCCAGCTTCTCTGGCCACACATCAACCTCGAAAGTTATCTCGGCAGGACCTAGAAAACCAGAAGACCTGGGCAAAAGATGTCCCTGCTGCCCCATCAGTGGAGCTGCATGCCAGCAGGCGGTGAGAATCAAGGCCAAGCCTGGCCCCTGCGTTCAATTCCTGCTCAACCCAGGAGGCAGCCTTCCAGGCGCCCCCTCATCTGGATCTGCGGGTGCTGGTCAACTCCAATCTGTCCCCCTTGAGCTCATGGTGCCTGTCCGTCAAGGCCCAGCCCAACGTCCCCTCCTCCATGAAAGCCTCTCTGAGAATGGAAGTGGCCCTGAGCTGTGGCCCTTGAACTGTGGCCCTGGTTTTAGCCTCCCTTTCCTGGTGTTTCATAAGTGCTTTTGAACACCCATTAGGTGCCAGGCACTGAAGGAGCCCTGAGGATGCAACAGGGACCAAAGATGACCAGTGGCAGAGCGCACCTGGAGGTGAAGGAGCTGGACAAAAGCAAAGAGCAGGCCGGAGCCCCTGCGGCGAGCCAGTGGCCGGGGCAGGAAAGGAAGTCAGGGGTGTGGTCGGCAAGGCTCCAAAAGGACAGGACAGGAGCGGGCGCTGAGCCCCGCGGGCCTTAGTGGGTAGTCTGGGAGCTTTCTAGGCAAAGGAAACCATGGTGCAGACTGTCGTGAGTGTGTGCCTGGTGTCTGGGGAGATCAGCGTGGTAAAAGGAGGGAGTCAGGGGACAGGACAGACGGGTATGGGCCACCTTGAAGCCCTGTCTCCTCACCAGCCGCCCACGGCCCCCCAAGGGAAGGGACATTTGCCTGTTTGACAAATGAGCAAAGCCTCGCTTTTGCTTCTGGCACAGCCCAAGGGGGAGGCCCCTGAGGGCCCAGGCAACGCTGAGGCTGTTTACAAGACAGCCTGGACAGCACCCTCACCTTTAGGCCCCTGCCAGCATACCCTGAGCCCGGGCACCCTGTTCCACCTGATGTCCAGAAGGCCAGGACGCCACCCGTCACCCAGAGCCGCAGTGACTCAGAGCCCCACCACCGATCGTGGGAGAGCAGCCTGGAAGCAGAGCGTCAGCAAGCTCCTTGCCTGAAGGCCAGGGCACAAGGCCACTCCCACCCCTGGGCTGCCCCACGCCAGGGGCCAGGGGCACCAGCTCACCTGAGCAGCAGAGCAGGGTGAGAAGGGCTGTGGGCAGGCCCCAGCGGCCCAAAGAAGGCATCTCGGCAGGGTCCACAGGCGGCCAGGGGCCAGAGGGCTGCTGAGACGGAGCCGGAGGGCCGGCCAGCACCACTCAGGGAGCGGCCCCAGCCTGAAACGCCAGCTTCCTATGCCCTGATGACAGAATTTCCTCTCATTAGCTGGGGTCAGGAAGCCACATGCACATCCTCAGGTCCCGGGGCCCTGCCAGTGCCAGCAGAGGACGGAGGAAAGAATCACTAAGCGGGGGCCTGGCCTAGGGCTTCCGCTCCTGGGGCAAAGGGCAAGGGGCAGGGCGGGGGCAGCAGCACACAGGCATTCTTTGTACGCTGGGGCCTGCAGGGTGCAGGCCTGGGGACCCCAGGTCCTGTGGGGAGCCCTGCTGGCAGGCTCTGTGCTGGACAGGAGAGTCCGGATTGCACTCAGCCGGGCTGGACCTTCCTGAAGAAGCCCAGGCGGGCATGGGAAGCTGTCCTGCAGATGCACCGTGTGCCATCTGCACAGACTGGATGCCCACTCAGTTTCCAGACTCAACCTCCCCTGACTCAGCTGGCCCAAGGCATCAGTGAGGACCAGAGCCGGCAAGTACATGGAAGGAGGGGCAGGGCCTGGCCTGGGACGGAAAGAGGCGAAAGGAAGGGCTTGGGGGTCTGGGAGCCCCAGCCAGGAGGAGCTGGTGCCACGTGGGAGAGTCATGCTGCAGGAGCCAAGCCAGACAAACGTTATAGGCAGCGAGACAGGGCCAGGCCCTAGGGAGACAGCAGGGAAGACCAGATGACTGCCAGTTTGGGAGACACAGACCCCTGTGTGGGCCGGACCGCACGCTGAGAGCCATATACCTCCCTAAAGATAGGCATCCAGGGCCAGGGAGATAGCTCGGGACTAAAGTGTCTGCTCAGGCAAGCGCAGGGACCACGGTTCGATCCCCAGCACCACATGCTCAGCCTGCCCTGGGGACGGGGCTGGTGCATGCCTGTAATCCCAGCGCTGGGGAGGCTGAAAGCAGGAGGATCACCACAAATCTGAGCTGAGTAGTAAGACCCTGCAGCAACCAAATACATTTTAAAAAATGATAGGCATCCATGACTGATATTCTAGATGAGTCATAGGGACACCTTAAGGACCAGACCCCCCCCCACAGGAAAAACCCCAGTTCAGTATTCATGCCTGTTTGCCATGCCTGCGCGCTACATGACTCGTTTCTGCATTTGGTCCTGGATTTAATCAATTTTATCTAAGCAATGGTGCTTGCAGTCTCATTGACTGACCATAGTTTTGTCCCACCTCATGCCCACCTGAGGGAGTTCCCTTGTTTCCCACCTTAGACTCGCCTCACCACATGGTTTTACTCTATAAAAATCCCTGGAAGACACAGCTTCGGGGACAACCTGCTCAGGTCCCCCTTCTGTCCTCTTGGACAGATTTCTTTCCCCCAATAAATATAGTCTGCTCTTAAGCTCCATTGTTCCTAAAATTCATTATTTGGTTTTAGGGACCGCAAACTCCACCCAGGTAGCCTTCGGCTGGGAGTTTCATTCCCCTGCCTCAGTCAGAGCAGGTGGGTGGGGGGAGACCCAGCTATGGGGAGTCTATGGGGATCAGAATGATAACACAACAATAACGCAAGTGTCACCAGGAATTAAAAGGGGAGCCTAGGGCGGGGATGGAGCTCAGCGGCACAGCCTGCTTGGAAGTGCAAGGTCCTGAGTTGGATTCCCAGCATGAAAGAAAGACTCCACCCCACCCCCCAGAAAACCCTCAGGAGCCTAAGTACAATGTCAAAAGGAAGACTACCAACTCAGAAACTGAAAGTAGAACGGGTGCCCCACAGCCGCAGAGAGGAAGTGGGTGTTGTTAGCAACTCCATAGTTGCTGTTGTATGGCTGGTTCCGGAGACTGGTTGTAAAGAACAGGAAAACATGCTTCACGTTACTAAATGGGGTATTTAAAACTACACGGTAGTATTGAAGAAAGGACACAGAAATAAAAATAAAAAGGCTATGAATAAAGTGTGTCATGAAGTGTGAAGCAAAGAAGATAAAATCTCCAAAAAACACGCTAGACTTAATTTAATAAAAACAAAAGGCCTGAGTAGGTCTAGAGTAGTAGAGAAGTGGAATCAGTAATTTAAAATTTTCTGATAACCAGGAATGATGGTGCATACCTATAATCCCAGCACTTGGGAGGCTGAGGCAGGAGGATCTCTGAGTTCAAGACCAGCCTGAATTGCATAGGAAAATCCTGCATAGTGAAACCCTGTGTCACACACACACACACACACACACACACACACACACACACCACCAGGCTTCTCCTCTTCTCCTGCCTCCCTCTCCCTCTCCCTTCCCTCACCATCAGCATTTTCTGCTTCCTGGAATCATCTCTCACATAACTCGCCTGAACCGAAGAGCTTACCCCAGCTCTGCTTTTGAGGGAGCCCAAAGTAAAGTCACATTAGTAGACTAAAGAAGAAAAAAAACACAATCTCAACAAATTCTAAAAACAAAAGCATAAAACAAATACATTGTTGTTCAGCACCTTTTCTAATAAACACCTAGAAAATCAGAAGGAAATTCTTTTTTTTTTTTTTTTAATGTGTTTTAGAGTCAGCAGAGAACAGGAGCTTATCCGGCAGCCAGTAGCAGTTGGAGTGGTGATGTTCCTGGCTTCCTCAAGCTAGCAAAGCAGTTAAAGAGGAAAAAGGGAAGTCGCTCCTGAACCACCTGCAAAGAGGCAAAAGGTCCGTGAGACTTGGGGCGGCTGTCTTTGCCCGAGGCAGCAGCAGCTGCAGCCGCAGCAGGAAGCAGCGAAGAGAACATGTTCCCGAACGGGGAAGCGAGGCATTGCATGCGTGGGGTTTGTAAGGAAGGAGATAACTGTCGCTACTCACATGGCCTTTCGGACAGTCCCTATGGTGTCGTGTGCAAGTGCTTCCAGCGAGGGTGCTGTGTGTGTGCAGACTGCTGCAGGCATGAGCACGGCAAGCCATTGCTGGAGACAGGAGGAAGCTGCTACTCATAAACCGCAGAACCATCCCTTGCCGCCGCCTCAAGTCTCTCCTCCGTCCCTGGACCACTGTGGAGATGAATTCGGGAAAGGCTGAGTCCACAAGTGGGAACTTCCCTGCGGTGGGCGCAGGGTCCGAGGACTGGGTGAACGCCATCGAGCTTGTGCCCGGGCACTGCTCCTGCGTGCGCAGAGGCCCCCGTGCAGGGCCAGGCCCAGCGCGGAGTCCGAGAAGGAGCCAGCTGCGGTGGAGACCAGGAAGCAGCCGCGCCCCTATGCCGCCGCAGGCGAGTGCATTTACGGGGAGAGCGGTGCGTACCTGCACGGCAGCGACGCCTGGGACATGTGTGGGCTGCAGGTCCTGCACCCGGCGGATACAGCCCAGAGGTCCCAGCGCATAAAATCTTGCATCGAAGCCCATGAGAAGGACATGGAGCTGTCCTTTGCCGTGCAGCGCAGCAAAGACATGGTGTGTGGCATCTGCACGGAGGTGGTGCATGAGAAAGCCAACCCCAGTGAGGCCCTTCGGCGTCCTGTCCAACCGCAGCCGCACCTACTGTCTCCAGTGCACCCGCAAGTGGAACAGTGCTAAGCAGTTTGAGAGCAAGATCATAAAGTCCTGCCCCGAATGCCGGATCACACCTAACTGTCACTCCAAGTGAGTACTGGGTGGAGGAGAAAGAAGAGAAGCGGAAACTCATTCAGAAATGCAAGCAGGCCGGGAGCAACAAGACACGCAGGCATTTTGATGAAGGCCGTGGGAGCTGCCCATTTGGAGGGAACTGTTTTTACAAGCATGCGTACCCTGATGGCCGTAGAGAGGAGCCACAGAGACAGAAAGTGGGAACATCAAGCAGATACCCGGCCCGACGGAGGAGCCACTTCTGGGAGCTCATTGAGGAGAGAACAGCAGCTCCTTTGCCAACGACGAAGAGGAGGTGGTCACCTTTGAGCTGGGCGAGATGTTGCTTATGCTTTTGGCTGCAGGTGGGGACGACGAGCGGACTGACTCTGAGGACGAGTGGGACTTGTATCACGATGAGCTGGAGGACTTTTATGACTTAGACCTATAGCAGCTTTGCATGCGCGGGAACGGCCTGCCGAGCCTCAGACAGTAGCTGTCCCCTGTGCCGCATGGCAGTGTGGTGCTCTCCTAGGCAGGCCTCAGCTCCAGGTGCTGTCTGACC